ACATGCTTGAATTGGTCTACGGCAAACAAAAGTGGTTCAAGGGATATTCCCTAAGAGGCTACTTCTAAATCCACACAATGATCGAGGCTTGAACTAGTATCGTGGTGGAGATCGAGAGAAATGATCAGATTTGAGAAGAATTTCATTTTTTAATAATTGAGTTGATTTTTAGAGAGGAAGGGAGAGAGCTATATAAACATCAATGATGAGAGAGAATCATTGACCAGCTGCCTCCTGCAAGCCCCCTACTGGGAATCGATTCCACAACTCAGGCATGTGCCCTGACCAGGAATCGAACCAGTGACCTCTTGGTTCAGGGGTTGACACGCAACCACTGAGCCACACCAGCGACAAACTAGACTTCTGCCATTTTTTAATGCACCACTAATTTCCTGGAAATACCTATCTGTTGAGGCTTTATCTCGTTTAGTGCCTCAGAGAAGATGAGACAGGACTTTAAAAACTCTTTGGGGAGTACTTGCCTTAGTATCTTTGGGAGGACACACACAAAACAAATATGCTTAAGTCCATATTAATATTCTGTTAATCAGTTTATAACTTGCCAGTAAAATTCTGTTACGGCCTGTCACTGGATTAAAACAAGAAGATTATAACAATCCTCTCTTAAGGTGCCATTTTGATAGTAATTAGAATATTGCTACCATGTGGCATACATTTTTTATGTACTAAAAGTATCCCTCCTACTTAATTTTGTTTTAGGAAAGGGACACAGCAAGTAGGCGATGGAGGGATGGGTGTTTTGGAAGATCTATTAATCCTACAGGCAGGTTAAAAAAGCCAGTATGACCGTAGGAGTAAGAATGAGTTTCTTGCTGGCATCACTGTGGACTGGTATCAAACAAGTGGACTGATACTGAGCAGCTGCATGATCAGATTCTAATAAAATGAGCAACAAGCAAAAGAGGGAAAAGGTGTGGTCAGTCAATGTTAAAAATATTTTTCAGGGGAAGAAAAGCTATTAAATATTGATTGGCTGCTTAAGTGTTTTGAGCACATTTCAAAGGTCAATGATATGATTCGAAATGCCTCCACCTTCTAGAACTGAGAAACAGGCCATTTGTATTATCCTACACATCTTTCTAGCAACTAAAACAAATAATTCATTCAACAAACGTGTTCTGAGTGGTCACTATGGGCCCGGCACTTTTCTAAGTGGTAGGAATATAGCAGTAAATAAACTGCATGGATTTTATGTTCTTAGTGGAGAGAAACAAAGTCAATAACTAAATGACTTTGTATTAGAAGTACCCTAAAAGCCAACCTCAAGTACTTAAGAGTATGATAAGTAATTTGGGGGAAAAAGAGAGCAGGAAAAGGAGATAAGATGTAAATAACTCATTTGTGTTCGTTGTTATGACAGAGTAGATTTTAGAATTAACAATATTCTTTTATAACTAACATTCATAGGTATATAAATATTCCATGTTATAGATTACAGCTTTAATAGTTTCAAAAACCAATATTAGTATATCTCCACTCCTAAAGTACATTATTTGTATATTATACTATATAATATATACTATACATATAATATATATAACTTATTGATGACAAGTTCTTAGTCAAGAATATAATCTAGGATAAATTAACACCAGGTCTTTTAAGTGAAACACAACGTACTTTTGGATATTTTTTTATGAAGCGTTTTGAGGAAGGAGCTGGTTTTTGTTTGTTTTTTAAGCCTACAGCACCCGGCATTCCCAGGCGGTCTCCCATCCAAGTACTAACCAGGCCCGACCCTGCTTAGAAGAGGCCGGTTTTTTAAAAAGTGAAACCCTACTGAATTGTAAATCAAAGATTTCAGGTAGCAATGATTTTCAATTCTAAAAAACAAAATTAAGTTCACTAGTCACTCCACCTTAAATTCATCTAATGTAGCCTAAATCAAATAGGAATGTTGGTCATCAGTATCATTAACAACTGGAAAAAGAATAGTAAAGACTGAAACTCTTTGGGAAGAGCTCATTTCCAAAAGAAGAAAAGACATTAGTTTTACAACTAAAATGTATAAACTATTTCATTTCATTATGTTTTGGTTGTCCAGTACTTCAATTTTTGCTCATAAAACATACACCGAAGTTTTCAGCAGAATAAAGCTTACCTTCAGGCTGGTATGAGAACGTGGCTGACTTAATTCCTGAAATTTCCATTGCTCCGATCCAGGGGTCTCTCCACCTTTCTGAGTGTCAGGTGTAAGCAATCCATCTCCCGCAGGTAGAGGGAAAAGCCCTAGTGATATAGGGCGTTCTTTTCTATATAGAGAGGGGAGGAAAAAGTAAGCATTCATTCATTTTTTTTAAAATTCTTTATTCGTCATGACTATAAGCAATACTCCTGGGCAATTATTATTTTAGAATCATTACTCTTAAATAATATTGTCTGCCTATCTGAACAAGACTTACCAAGAAAAAATATAGGTCCACAGAAGTTTAAATTAGCCCGAAGAAATCAACTAAGAAAAGCAGTAAGAAATTATTTAGGAAATGTTATAAAGTACTGATGAGTTCCTTGCCCAGAAAGCAGCCTGGGGTCTGCTTTCACAGAGAGAATAAGTACCAAGTTTTCACTCATGCTTAGGTTAACCCTAGTGAAACTCATAACCTCTCCGTTGGAAGTGGTCCCAACCTCTGCCTCTAGACTTCCCAAGTCCTCACACTCACCCCAAGATGTTTACCCAACTTTCTTCAGGGTATTCCTTTTCGGCCTGAAGGAAAATCAACATATGATCTAAATCAGGGCTACTGATTAAACAGTAAAAAGAGCTCAACAGAGTTTTATCCCATAAAGCAAGAACAGAACCCACGTATGAGTTTCTTTCAATCACAGTACATATGAAAAAAACCATTGTCAGTTTTTCCAAACAAGGAGGCCAAAAATGCTATGAGAGACTGTAGAGTTTCCATTGCTTTGTGGGGAATTTCAATTAACAAGAGTTACAATTTCAATAATAATAGAATTGCAACAAGAAACTTGTCCTTTGCTGATGCATAGAAGATTCAAAATCAAAGGGATTTGAAAACAAGCCTACTGCAAGGTTATCCTAGGTCACTAACTCAAAAGTGTGGAAACTGTCAAGAAAAGAGACACTAAAAGTTTGGAGCTCTACCTCTACTACTAAGACTGAATATAACTTAGAATAGAAACACTAAGGTTATAAATAAAAGTGGCAAAATATTTGGTTTTGCTAAATAAGTATTTTATTCTGTAAATTCATTTCTATACAACTTAAGCCACTTTTGAAATGTGCCCTCAATTAACACAAAGGGTTTTGCTAATGACAATCAGAAAAAGATTTATAAACTGTCAGAAAACTTTAAGAAAGTTTAAGAAACTTTAAGAAAGATTAGGTGAAGCAAAGGGGTCCAGAGACTGCATTTTTAAAAATATATATATTTTATTGATTTTTTACAGAGAGGAAGGGAGAGAGATAGAAAGTTAGAAACACTGATCAGCTGCCTCCTGCACACCCCCTACTGGGGATGTGCCCGAAACCAAGGTACATGGCCCTGACGGGAATGGAACCTGGGACCCTTTAGTCCACAGGCTGACGCTCTATCCACTGAGCCAAACCAGTTAGGGTTAGAGACTGCATTTTATTAAGGTTGTATGCACAAGAAAATAAAATAGGGCTTTATCAGTTAGAGTTAATTATTCATCACTTCTTCACACTCAGGCTACTTTTCCTGTTTAATTTCAGAGGAAAATTTGAATGCAGGTAGTACACAATAAAGTACTAGATAATAATTAATGCCAAACCCAAGTTTGTGACAATGAGCCACCAAAATAACCAAATGACAAAAATTAAAGTAACTTGTCTACTATTCTATTTATACCAATTATTCCCAAATGCTGGTTCAGCAACAAAGTTTTCATAATTTCACTGCAAAAACAGGCATTATTTATTTCCTCAACAGATAACAACAGCACATACTTTACACATATTCATTTCCATGTATCATAGAACTGGTTCTTTCTTCAGAATGACCCTTTTCTACATCTCTGCTTCTTTGATTTTAAAATGCTCTTTCTTTCATCCAATGATAATGACAGTAATTAGAAAGTGATTTTTTTAATGTCCATATTTGGCAAAACAAAAAGTTGTTGACTTGATGTTTATCCCTCAACATCAAGTTGAGGGATAATTCAAAGTTCTAACAGCTACTAGATGACTTCTTTTTTATCTTTTTTAAACATATCCTAATGACATAAACAAAAAGCTGACCAGGAATTTAATAGATGTAATTTAATAGAAAGCTCTCTAACCCGAAATGCAAAGCCAACCAGGAAGATATTACAGACATCATGTGAATCCATCAAACTGCTAACAGATATCAAAATACAGGCCAGTCATCAGAATGATCATCTATATGAATGACAGCATATTCATTTTCCCACATCAAATACTACTGAAAAGTGGAAAACTACGGGGGAAGGAGTCTTCTGTGCATCCAAATGTCCCTTTCCTACTCCTGTTAATTACAAGAATTATTCACACCTCTTTATCTTGATTTTATTAATCATTCAGATACTCTTCTATAGGGAGGGAACTTCTTTCAGAGATCGGCAGCTATCTGTCACTATCTGTCAAGAGGGTCAATGGTGCTCTGGGTTACACTGTGCCAACTCTTGAAAAATAACCTTACTACATATATCTTCTCTCCTCCTTTTACTGATAAATTACATAAGAGTTAGGGGGAGGGGGAAGGCATGTAATTAATTATGCAAGTTAGTTAGAGTCCTACTTTTGAGAAGAAACCCCCAAGGTGAACATTCGTTCAGTGCTATGTTGGTATGCATGTTTAGTACTCTATGTATTGAATGCTTCAGTAAAATTCACAGAAGAAACTATAGAATGGAACACATGTGGGAAAGTATCAACCTGGCAGACGTAAACCTAAGATGTTTCAATGCCATTATTATCTAAAAACAAAGTTATCATCAACCCGTTATATTCTTTTTAAACTGACTCAGTTCAATATATCTATTTTTAGTTGTTTATTGAAATGTTACCTTACATGCATAAATCACTTCACAAATATTCTTCAGTTACATTAACATTTAAAATAAATAATCATTAATAAAATCTACTATATATATAAAGGACAGTAAAAAGAGATTACATTTGTTCAGTACAATGTGATAAGCACTGAAATGAATAATTTATTTACATTACCGATTAATCCTCACAAGGAAAGAGAGATTATTTTCCCAGTTTTCAGATTAGGAAAAGGGATGCTCAGAGACTGCAGACACTAGTGATTGGCAGCGACAGGTTTCAAAGCCAGACCTGTTTGACTCCGAGGCCCATGTCCTTTCCTTGGAACTACCTGCTTCTTGACAATTTAATCTTCATATTGAAGACTTTTGTGTCAAGGAACTTTTCAATTTAATCATGTTATTTGATCAATAAGATAGCTGGGGCTAAAATAGTTCTGCTAATAAGGGGGAACATATACTGGTAAGTATAAATATTATTTACTTGTTTAATTATATATCTTGCAACTGATCAAGTATAAAATAATTATTTCACCTGATTTTTGAAACCACCCTAGTGGGGTAAAAACCCCCAAGGCGGAAACTCTGGAACAAAGAAACTAAGCAATTTGCCAAAGGTCTACCAGCTAACAACACGTGACAGAACATGTGTATCTAACTCCAAAGCCTCTTACCCTCCGCACAGCACAGCACTGGCTTCTCAGACAGAATGGAAACCTAAGACAGCCTTTAAAATCAATCTCATTTTAATATTCTACATGTTCTTGAGTTAAGGTATATTTAAGTTCCTAAAAGCCTAGGTATACACACACACACACACACACACACATCTTTTATATACTAAAATATACACAAGTAATGAGATTGCTCCTGATTTTTATAAAATCAGGAAAGGAAATAAATGACCAACCATAAAATTTAATTTCTGGGTCTTAAGCTAATGTTGAACATGAATTGACCTGTGAATTAAAAGGAACACATAGAAGGAATTTACTACTTTAATTCTTCTTGCTTTATCGAAATCCACAATAAGGAGTTAAGTATTTTAAACGTTTAAATAATAAAAGCTATGCACTATGTACCTTCATTTAAAACCACAGGCAAAGTAGAAAGCTGAACAAGTCAGATAGTTTTAGTTTGATGAGTTAGAAACAAAAGAAACCAAAACCTTACATCTCTAAAACGAAGAAGATGGTTCTTATAGGGTGCAAGCAGAGTGAGCAGCAGAAAAGCTAGAGATTAATGACTACCCCCACAAGCAGGCATGAATATCTGTCACCCAAGTCTACAAAGAAAGGGCAACATCTGACTAAACAATAGTGAATAGGCTTTGTAAAGCTTTCACAACTTTGATGTGTAGATAATGGAGGAAAATGCATTTCTTGCCCTGAAAGGTTTATATCCTTTCACTTAAATACAATTTAGAAGGAAAATTAATTTAAATTCTCAGTCCTCATTAGCTGCTATCAAAATTTGTAAAAATAATGACTGAACCTCTATCAGTCAAAGGATAACTGAAATAAAATAAACACCTACGGCCTGTGTCTAATAGACTGCAAGTCCCAGCATGAAAGATATTTGCCCCTAAATGCTCAGATGCTAACCAGAGGTTGTATAAACTTGGGCTGGAACTCCACTTCTGCTCTCCCCTCGCTCTTTCAACACTTGCTTAAAGCAACACCACACTGACCTTGCTGTTGTAGGTTAAATACAATATGAAAACCCTTTTCCTAAGTAAAACGTTTCCAAACACAAAGCAGCATCCCTAAGTGATGGCCTACAAATGAATACAAGTAAAAATAGAAATCCTAGCTTCAGGCCATTTCCCATTGTTTCAATCTGCAACAGAAATGGTTGCAAAGCAGACCCATGAAGCTAAAAAAATTGAGACAAACCAACTAAACAGGGGCTGTGAAGAGAGACTGGAGTACCTGAGTATCCTTGGTAGGTTCTGCGTCAGAGCTGGCACACCGGTAGAAATAGAAAAGTGCACAAGCAGCAAAACAGAGAGCGATACCAAGATAGCAGAATTAATGACCACCGCCCCGCCAACAAAGCCAAACACCAACAGCAGCATGCATCCGGGACTCATGGCGCTGTGCGGGCATGGTGAAACGCCCGAGCCAGGAGGCCTACACGGGGGCCACCGGAGTATCTTTGTAGTGAGGATCTGTCATTCAGCTGCTGCCACGAAAACAATGCCATCAGCAGCCGCTTTCCACTCCATCCTGCAGCAGCTCCGAAGCGATGACGTCACCCCGTTCTCCCCACCTCAAAACCGGAGAGCTGCTGCTCCTAGCATTTATGCAGCTATCCTGGGCGACAGGCAGCCTATTAACCACGTTCCTCTCCACCAAGAGCCCTGGCTTAGCTCATTGGCTAAATGCTTGCAGATCTACATAATTTATTCACACTCCTACATCAAACACAAGTCTCACTAGCTAACCCTTTCAAACGTGCCTCTCTCTAACAAAAGGACTTTAGACCAGGAGGACTGGAAAATTTTCAGCGTGCCCACAAATCAGAAAAATTTAAGCCTACTGTAATACACATTATTAGAAAGCAATCAAAATATCTCGATAATGCTGCTTATATGGAATGGCTCACAATTTACATCTGAAATAATGAAAGCTGTTTCTGTTTTTCTATGCTATTCTTTACTATAGCATTCCAACCACAGTAGAGAGCTTTTGAAACAGCCTAACTATTGTTCCAGGATTAAAGAACAGAGAGAAACAGACATAGGCAGGTTATTTCGCTTTGTTCTCAAGGCAAACGTATAACACAGCTTACCTAATTCTACTATGAACTGCAGATTCTAGTTGTTCACTCCCTGAGAGCTGGTGAAGTTTTGTCCTTTCTAAGTGTTCCATATAATTATGGATCATCTGTTTTGAAGAAAAAAATACACAAAAATTTAAAAATAATACCTGGAATAAAACAAAAAGAACACTTTTTTTACACATTTCTTATTTATCAGATTATCCATAATTCCGTATAAAAGAATATTGGGGTGAAATGGGGGGGGCATGAAGGAGGTGGAAGAGGGCAAAATGGGGAATAAACGGGAAGGAAAGCGACGACTTTGGGTGATGGGCGCACCATGCAGTATGCAGGTGTCTGAGTTGTGCACTTGAAACCTGTATGGTGTGATTAACCAATGTCACCTAAATAAAATTTCTTTTAACGGCAAAGGAATATGCAAATGCTACATTTAAGGACGCTGGTAGCCATAAAAGTAGTCAACATATTGCTGAGCACTGCAAAAAGCTATTTTTCACATTGTGATGCTATTAAATGATATAATTTTGACATAAAGAGCAGAAATTAGGATATAGAAACTGGGGAGGAGGTGATATGAGATAAGTGGTAAAACAAATAATAGAGGGCATCGGAGAAGTCCATTCAGCAAAATGGAAAACAACAAAGAAATTAACGTAACACTTGAGAAGAAATTGACAAGGAGAAAATCTGAGATGTCCTCAGAAGAACTTTCAGCTATGAAAGTTTTTTGTTTAACAAAACCATACCCTTATGTGGTGATTCTATTTTACAAAGGATTCAGAGTATGGATCACTCAATTTAATTAAGTAATTTAATTAAGTGCCAATGTTTTTATTTCTTATTTCTACATATTTAGTTGAAAGAATGCTACTATATTTTCTCCTTTGATTGCCAATTTACTGGTATAATTACGTAATGTGATCATCTATAACAACAGCACATTAAAACAAATAAAAATCAGAGCACTGTGATTCTGTGTCTTGGATACACAGGCTGAATAGGGACGTGAAAGCTTCAAGAATATCAATACATAAACTGCCAAGAAATGCTACAGTCCTATGTAATTCTTAGTAATCTATAGTTCCATTTTTTTAAAATATATTTTATTGATTTTTTACAGAGAGGAAGGGAGAGAGATATAGAGAGTTAGAAACATCGATGAGAGAGAAACATCGATCAGCTGCCTCCTGCACATCTCCTATTGGGGATGTGCCCGCAACCTAGGCACATGCCCTTGACCGGAATCGAACCTGGGACCTTTCAGTCCGCAAGCCGATGCTCTATCCACTGAGCCAAACCGGTTTCGGCTATAGTTCCATTTTTAAGAAACCTAAATCTGGCATTAGAATACGTAAAATGCAACAAGTTTCAATCATAAAATCAAAAAGGCTATTCTAGATACTAACATGATATAAATAAGAAAAATGAATTTTAAAAAATAACAAAAAGGCCAAACCAATGGACATGGACAACAGGAGGATGAGAGCATGGGGGGGAGGGGGAGTTTGGGGGTTAATGGGGGGATGAGGATACACTTGTAATACCTTAACTAATAACAAAAGGTATGTCAGCAACTTAAAGGGATGTAAATATTAAGAGTAGGACATAAAAAAAAGGCTGATATCTTTCTTGGGAATATTGCCTGAATTCTTAAAACTGTAGCATGAAATATATTTGGAAATTTCTAAACTTTAGTGGTATGAAGGTAGGTTTCAAACTTAATAATTTAAATATTATTGTAATCTAAAGAAAACTATTGACAGAAAAAAATTTAACAAAAATTTGTTTTTTAATTTTAAAACCTGCTTTTGTTGTAAAAGTTTTACTTGGTGTTCATGTACCATCATTATATATAAATCAATTTGAAAGTTATTAACATAAAATAAACAAAACAGTAAACTCTGGTGCATGAGTTAAGATGAGTAATTCTATTGAATCAAACATAAAATAAATAATTAATCAAGTTTTTCCCCACTAAGACTAACCCAAACAAGGACTCGGTCAGGCAAAGAAAAATTAATATAAAATTGCATGAATATGGTATGTGAAAGTACTTTTTAACTTTTAAATTTATATACTTATTTTAAATTTACAGATTTTCTCTTTACCACCACTTAACAGTTTTGCAAAAATACAGGTTTTGTCTTTGTCTTTGTGTCAGCAAGCCAGAAATAATGAGCTGTTTTCTTCTTGTATCTGGAAGAACTTTAAGGAAAAAAATTTAAGTGAGACTAATATAACAAAGTGATGTTTGGGCCAAATAGATATCAATTTACATCTTCATATGGTTTTTAAAAGCCTAAGTTGAATTCTTTTATACTGGATAGTAATCATATAAAATTGATTAGTTCAAATGGAAGAATCTAAGTTTCATTAAGCAATTCAGATGAATTGCTAGCTATGGTCCACTATGTTCTAACTGCCATGAGCTGATTGGCTTTGGGGCCAGAATTCAGGTCCCTCTGACTCAGTCAACTGAGCAGGTAAGCATCATAGGACTCACGCTGTATCTTGCCTTTTAGTCTATTCTGTAGGCAGGCAATAAGCTCATTGTCCGTTCTTCCTCACACCCACAAAAACCCCAACCCTTAAGCATTTCCTGACGTCTGAAATAAAATATGCACTAATTCTATAAATGCACAAAAGAGTAGAAAAAATAAATTATATAATAAAGAAATAAACCTTTAACTATAGGGCTTCACAATGTAGCTCTGGTCTTTTAAAAATCATGAATGGGAGGGCAGGATCAGTGGTGCTAGAAAGAAGAGCGAGGTAAGAGGAAAACGGGATGTGCTTGGGCTAGCGACTACTGGGTCCACCAGCCCATCCCTCCTGATCTCAGGTTTGCTCATTTATTCCCACAGAGTCAGGTGTCAACTCCAAAACCCAAAGCTAGAGTCATGAAGGATTCCAAGCACAGTCTGGAAAATCCCAATCCCCTCCCACCTGGAAAAATCTTCACAGCTTTGACTAAAATGGAAAAGCAAGGCAATAGTGAGGTTTTGGAAACAGTGGCATGGATCTCTTTCGTCACGTTGACCTTGAATCTTTCCATATGCAGCCCAAGAATCATATATCTATATCTGCAGAGTTTCTCTTCTTAAAGTTGTTGAGATAGCATAAAGCAAAGAGGCACAGAAAAATTTCTAGTGCATTTAACATCCATGTATTCCACAACCTAAAAGCGTTATTGAAAATTCAGGCAATGGAATCAGACAACCTAGGTTCAAATCCAGTCACATCCCAGCATGGGGTCTGGGACAAATCATACTCTCTTTCTAAACTTCAATGTGTAAAATGGGTTTGGTCAGAGGATAAAATGACAATGCATTTAAACACTCCCTGATGTAAGACCAGGGTTCAAGTTTTCGGTGAGTAATATTAAGAGTATGTACATATGTGGCAAGTGCCTCACAATTACTTGATGTTTGTACTTCCTACACTGCCCTCTTTTTTTTTTTTTAACATATTTTATTGATTTTTTACAAAGAGGAAGAGAGAGGGATAGAGAGTTAGAAACATCGATCAGCTGCCTCCTGCACACCTCCCACTGGGAATGTGCCCACAACCAAGGTACATGCCCTTGACTGGAATCAACCCCGGGACCTTTCAATCCGCAGGCCGACGCTCCATCCACTGAGCCAAACCAGTTAGGGCAGCCCTCTTCTTTAAGCATGTGTTCTTTTAAACAAATTCAGTAAGGTGTACAAAATCCTGGATTTGACTAGAGAACAAGTTATTCACTCACCAAAGAAGCCATAGATTTCCCCTAAGCAGTAAAAAGTGATATTTAAACATTTTTGTGCCTATTTCAAAAGCTTACCTGAGTTGGTAGTAATCCTGAAAAAATGAAGGTTAAATCCTTTCTCTGAAGGTTTCCAGAATTTCCCTTCATTAATATTGGATAGCTATTTATAATTGCTAATTAAATGATATTTCTCCTACAGAAAAATGGGGACTAGAGTGGAACACCCCACATTTCAAAGCAGCTACCTCTGTGTTACATAAACCTTCCTACAGGCAGAGCAAAATAAAGAGAGCCTGCTAGTATCAGGGCAGAGGACAGAAGCTGCTTGTGGCAGAGGGAGGGGCTGGGTGAAAAGAGCTGCCCTGCTTCATGTGAAATTTACTGCCCAGGCCCAGCTCTCTGAATTGGTATTTAAGATTTCTCCTGAGATCTTTTTTTCTTCCTGGACTGTCCTTCTCTGAAGGAACAGGACAGAAAAATTATTACAGCTTTTTATTTGAAGGTGTCAGGTTTTTCTGTAGCAACATCACTTTTATTAAATATGTGAGAAAAAATAAGAAATTTCACTTTATAGTGATTTTTCAAGAATGCATGTATTTTAAGCATGCTTCAATTTAACACATCCTAATTTAGTAATCATCCATTATTACAAAGGTTAGAACTTCAATGAAAAAAACCAAAAGGATTATTCATCACTATCAATTATTTCTGGTACATAAACATATTCCTGCTTATAATTATGGCACTGATAAGCACTATATACAGGGCATTGTTCAGTCACTGAAATAGATGATGTAAAAAGA